TCACTATGGTCTATAGATGAATCAAAAAGTCTGTTACATATTTCATACATTCATTCATTATTGTACAAGTTGGTATTTGTGTATGAGACAGTAGTTGTGTATCATGTGGAACTCTGGACTTGTATCCTATCATAATGACTATCTACAGTACAATACTAGTTATATGTACTATGACAACAGGTAATGGTACCGTAAATCAACTAGAGTTTTATTTTATTTCGATGAAATTAGGCATGAAATTTTAGTGTATTATGCAAAATTTTCAATGAAATGATTTTATATTTAATGAATGAAAAGTTGTAAAGTTGAATTATTTTTTGATGAATTTTTTCTAAATAATATTTTTGAATGAATTTTTCATGAAAAAGATTTATTAATGAATTTTTTGTTTTGTAATATTCTTGAAAGGAAAGATTTATTGACAGAAAATTTTATTTTTTAACATTCTGCAATTTTTCTTTAAACTATTTCATAATTAATTTATGAAAAGCAGTTGTTTAAAATTTTTTGATATTATTTATATTAATATTTAATATTTCTTAATACTTTTGAATTATTAATATTTTTCTGGAAATAGTTTTGAACTTTTACTTGAATTTTTTCTTAAAATTGAATAATCCTGAGCACATGAATGTCTAAATTTGCCATCATTTGCTATAAGTATGATATAAATGTCTATATTACGTGTCTATATTACAGATCAGAGCTTCGTCTGTATATAACATAGATATGTCTATATTACAGATCAGAGCTTTGTCTATATATAACATAGACATGTCTATATTACAGATCAGAGCTTTGTCTATATATAACATAAACATGTCTATATTACAGATCAGAGCTTCGTCTGTATATAACATAGATATGTCTATATTACAGATCAGAGCTTTGTCTTTATATAACATAGATTTGTCTACATTACAGATCAGAGCTTTGTCTATATATATACCATAGCTATGTCTATATTACAGATCAGAACTTTGTCTTTATATAACATAGATATGTCTATATTACAGATAAGAGCTTTGTCTAAATATATAACATAGCTATGTCTATATTACAGATCAGAGCTTTGTCTATATATAACAAAGCCATGTCTATATTACAGATCAGAGCTTTGTTTATATATAACAAAGCTATGTCTATATTACAGATCAGAGCTTTGTCTAGATATAACATAGATATGTCTATATTACAGATCAGAGCTTTGTCTATATATACCATAGCTATGTCTATATTACAGATCAGAGCTTCGTCTGTATATAACAAAGCTATGTCTATATTACAGATCAGAACTTTGTTTATATGTAACATAGCTATGTCTGTATTACAGATCAGAGCTTTGTCTTTATATATCATAGATATGTCTACATGTAAAATGGCAATGTATGTATGACAGATCAGAGCTATAAAATCTCATTCAACTTGATTAAATGATAAACATATCGTCAACTGTTAGCTTCCTAGTCCAAAGGAAGCGAGACAGGCAAGATTGTAAATTGTACTTTGTACTTGGAGTATTTTAAACTTTTACTGGAAACTGGTTAAAATGTGTGGCATGTAAATATGATAGATCAGAGCTATGTCTATATGTATTTCTATATATCACATATCAGAGCTATGTCTAAATTACAGATTACAGGTTAGAGCTGCGTCTATATCACAGATCAGAGTTTTGCCTATATCACACATAAGAGTTATGTCTATATCACAGACCATAGCTATGTCTACATCACAGAGCAGAGCTATGACTATATCACATCCATATATATATATATATATGTCAAATCTGTGCATTTTAAGAGCTATGTCCATATCACAGATCAGAGCTATGTCTACATCACAGATCAGAGCTGTCTAGATATCATCAGAGCTATGCCTATATCACAGATAAGAGCTATGTCTAAAATGCAGAGTTATATTGGGATAACAGAGACATTTTAAGACTACAAAGCCATATATATATATCCATGTTCATTGATTTGATAAAGTACAAATATGTGACTCTTTATTATATTAGAATTCCTTTTAACATATTATAGATGTTTCTTTAACAGCCTTGTTCATATTGATTGTTTTCTCCTGTTTTTAATTTAGATTTTTGAATCAAGATAGTTGTTATCATGTTAAGGAAATGTTCTGAATAAGTCATAAAGTCCATAGTGAAAAATTGCAAATAAATCTATTTTTTTGTCCTTAGTGACTGAGTGTGTTTCCCTGTGGTTACACCTTGTAGGTGAAGTTGATGGTACAATTATCAATAGAAAATAGAGAATAATTATCAATTGAATTTTATATCAGGCCATTTTGATCAAGTGCTCTATATACAAATACCGGTACTTGTTTAACATTTTATGCCCTTATTTCCTCTTGAGAGATGGTGTTCAGAGAATTAAACCCTTTGAACACTGATTGTTAATGAAATGAAATGTAGTATATGCCCTGAACTCCAAGTAATATAACTTCAAGAGTATTACATCAATGTTATGTGACATCAGGTGGAAACTGCTGCATTACCGACCGTTCTGGTATATATTATGTAATTATGAGGCCAGAAGACCGGCTGCTGGGGGTGAAAGCGTAAAGGGTAAACATGCTTGCTAAGGGATTCGGGTTCAATCCAGACAAAGGCAATGATAATATCAGAATTTTTAACCCAATTTCCTTATTATTTTACAGTTATATTTACATTTAAGAAAATGCAAAACTCCTTTTTACCACAAATATTCGGTCCTATGGTGGAAAAATAGATTCTTAGAACAATTTACAATGAGTATGAGAAAAATTGTTAATTGTCACTTAAAAGGGATCAGATATATGTGGCAAAAAAATCCTTTAAAAAATTCTTTTTTAAGAATTCTGTTCCAAAAATTTTTTTTCGATTTGATAAAGGCCATAGGGAAAATTTGTGGTAAACACCCCAGATTGGGTGTTATATTTATAACATATATTATAATAAGTTTTGTCCTCTGATTTCTGTCTTTGTAATTGTATGATAAATAGTTTTATCTTCTGATCTTTCTCTTTTTATGATATTTAATAAGTTATACACTTTGAATTCTGTTTATTTGTTATAATAACTTATACCTACTGATTTCTGTCTATTAAAGATAAGATGTTATATCTTTATTTTCTTTTAATTTATGATAAGGATTGTGTCTATTTTAAATGATAAGTTATATCCTCTGATTTCTTTATGTTTTATATTGATAAGTTATATCCTTTGATTCTGTCTATTTTAAATGATAAGTTAATATCCTCTGATTTCTTTATGTTTTATATTGATAAGTTATATCCTTTGATTCTGTCTATTTTAAATGATAAGTTAATATCCTCTGATTTCTTTATGTTTTATATTGATAAGTTATATCCTTTGATCCTGTCTACTTTAAATGATAAGTTATATCCTCTGATTTCTTTATGTCTTATATTGATAAGTTATATCCTTTGATCCTGTCTATTTTAAATGATAAGTTATATCCTCTGATTTCTTTATATCGATGATAATAAGTTATATCCTTTGAATCTATCTATTTTTAATGATAAGTTAATATCCTCTGATTTCTTTATATTCATGATAATAAGTTATATCCTCTGATTCTCTCCATACTTCTTAAAATAACATGTTATGTCCTCTGAATTCTGTCTATTTATTTTGATAAGTTAAATTATATTCTGCGATTTCTCACCTGTTTATGATGATAAGTTATGCCCTTTGATTTCTGTCTATTAATTATAAAAAGTTATATCCTCTGACTGATTTCTGTCTATTAATTATAAAAAGTTATATCCTCTGACTGATTTCTGTCCATTAATTATAAAAAGTTATATCCTCTGACTGATTTCTGTCTATTAATTATAAAAAGTTATATCCTCTGACTGATTTCTGTCTATTAATTATGAAATGTTAAATTCTCTGACTGATTTCACATATCAGAGCTGTCTATTTTGATAAGAATAATATATTCTGACAATTTGTGTTTATGATGATAAGTCCTCTGATTTCAATTTCTGATTATAAGTTATTTTCAAATATAAGTTATGTCCTCATTTCTGTCTTATTTAATGTCCTCTATATATTTCAGTTATATCCTCTGATTTCAAGTTCTGATTATAATTTATTTTCAAATATAAGTCATGTTCTCATTTCTGTCTTTTTTAATTATGTCCTCTATACTTTCAGTTATATCCTCTGATTTCAAGTTTTGATTATAATTTATTCTCGAATATAAGTTATGTCCTCATTTCTGTCTTATTTAATTATGTCCTCTATATTTTTACAGTTATATCCTCTGATTTCAAGTTTTGATTTCAAGTTCTGATTATAAGTTATTTTCAGTTATAAGTTATGTCCTCATTTCTGTCTTATTTATTTATGTCCTCTATACTTTCAGTTATATCCTCTGATTTCAAGTTCTGATTATAATTTATTTTCAAATATAAATCATGTCCTCATTTCTGTCTTATTTATTTATGTCCTCTATATTTTTCAGTTATATCCTGATTTCAAGTTCTGATGTTAAGTTATTTTCAAATATAAGTTATGTCCTCAATTTTGTCTTATTTAATTATGTCCTCTATATTTTTTCAGTTATATCCGGCCCGTAAACAGTGGCGTTATGAGCGGTGGTAGTAGTAGTAGTACAAGTGAAGGTCAGAAATTTCAAGCAGAAGGATATGGTGATTCGGTGATAACACAGTTAAATAAGTTACGTACTAATAAAGAGTTGTGTGACTTTAAAGTCTCTGCAGATGGACGAGTCTTTGAGGTAAGATAAAATTTGAAAATGGCACAATTCATAGTACTACAATGTTTTTTTCTTTCTGTCGGTCAAACTTACTGTCCAGTCAAATATGAAGAGAACCATTGCTTATACTACATTGTTTAATTTTCTGTACAGAAATTCCAGTTAATTTGATTATGCATACTTTTCATTTGTAGACAGTTTTCTACATTTTTTTCTTCATCACTATGGAAACTGTAGTTTTAGAAAAATTATCAATTTCAGGTACACAAAGCCTTGTTGGCCGCCACCAGCGATTATTTTAGGGTCATGTTTGGTGGTGTCATGGCCGAAAGTAAACAAAATGTGGTTGATCTCAAAGGTGTGACAGCAGACGGACTAAATCATGTGATTGATTTTATCTATAGTGGTGAAATGGCACTTACTTTAGATAACCTCACAGAAATCATTAATACAGCTAGTCATTTACAAGTATCCAGTGCAATTGATGTCTGCAGCAATTTCATTACGTCACTCATGACGTTTGAAAATGCAGAAGATTTTCTCAACATAGCAGACACCTATTCTCTGGATAAAGTCATGTCCCACTGGGATTCGATGATTCAGGATAAATTCTTCGAATTCACCCAAACTCAGGCCTTTTTGAAATTGGACGCAGAAAACCTTGCAAAACATTTGGAAAGGAATACTCTAAGATCTACCTCAGAATACAGACTTTTTCTCAGTTTGGATAAATGGTTTCGTTTCAATCCTGCTCGCATCACTACAGATGCTCCCAATGTTCTCAGTCATATTCGGTTCGCCCTCATGTCAGAAGGTGAACTGGCCTCAGTCAGGGAAAGTGATATCATTAAACGATGTCCTGGAGCTCAACAACTCGTTGCAAAAGGTTTTTTCTATCATAATGACTGTAAGAAAGGACACCCGTCCATAGAAGAAGTTTCCAATGTAAGAAGCAGTGCTCTTTGTTTGGTTCTAGTCCACCATGGAACCCCTTACATGCCATTTCAGGTTACTGCATACAACCATCATGCAGGATTATTCTACAGTATCTTTTCTGATGTGGATGGAAATCGGGACTGCAGAATTGCATCTGTCGATAATTTTGCATATATTTGTCGTGTTGTGGATTATGGTGGTGGTTCCTTGATGAGTTCCTTATTTCGATTTGATCCTCGCCACCTAGTTGGCCAAGAACTACGTCCAATGAGTCGACCTCGTTTAGACTTTGCTCTGGTTTCCTTTAATCGTTGCTTGTATGTGTTTGGTGGTTCTACAGAACAGTTTGCTATTCTGGACTCTGTAGAATGTTACAATGTTTTAACTGATTTCTGGGACACAGTACTACCTCTTCCTACACCAGTTCATTCTCTAGCTGCAACTACATTTCGCTCCAAGATCTATTTATCAGGCGGAGTGTCCGGTCAAGAGAGACAACCTACCAATTCATTTCTCTGTTTTGATCCCACAACTCAGAGATACGAAACTAAACCGGGTATGTTCTATGCCAGAAGACTTCACGATATCGTTGGCTATGAACAAAGAATATTTGTTTTAGGAGGAATCCCACGTCCCGGCATTCCTCTACATGGTCAAATTCCCATAGAATGTTTTGATCTTCGTACGAATCAGTGGACCATGCTCTCCTCAACTCTCAGTGGAAGATCTGTAGGACACTACATCAATTTTGAAGGACAGATCTTGTCTTTAGGACATGAACATCACAATGCTACAGAAGATGAAATTTGGCTCTACGATGCAGACCTGGATGACTGGTCCAAATATGCAAAAGCTCCACAGCGAACCAGCCTCAATTCGGCAATGTGTACTCAGTTATTCATCAATTTTGATGATGAAAAAATCTCTAACAAATATATGAAGGAAAAATAGTATTGTTATTTTATTGTTTAACAGGGCTTAATATAGGAATTTTTATATTTTCCACTAGTAGTTTTCTTATTTGGCTAGTATTTTGCAAGATTAAACTAGTAAATTTTATATTGAGCTAGTAATTTTCTATATTTAGCTATTAATTTTCTATATTTAGCTATTAATTTTCTATATAAGGCTAGTAATTTTCTATATTGGGCTGTTAATTTTCTATATTGAGCTGTTAATTTTCTAAATTGGCCTATTAATTTTCTATATTGTTGTAGTAATTTTTAAAATTGGCTAGTAATTTTCAAGATCGGCTAGTAATTTTAAAAAATTGACTAGTAATTTTCATATTGAACACTTAGTTCTCATATTGGATAGTTATAAATTATAGAAAATATAGCCTCTTATTGGAAAAATGACCCTAATGGAAATCTTTCAGAGAATAAAATGAAAATTATCTAGCTATTTAATGTCCTACATTAAGCCCCAATATCATTTTGATTTAGATTACATTCAATTTGCATGCTTCTTCTTCTTATAGTCATTTTAATGTTCATATAAATGTTTTCAGGTACTCGCATTCCCATTGTAGTGATATCCATGTATTGTAAATTTTCCAAATATTCTGAGTAAAAGTGTTTGCTCTTTAACATAGATGATATCCTTTAGGTACTGAAGGCAAGCAATAAAATCACCTAGACATGTACAGATACAGAAACCAGTAAAATTTCTTTACACTATTTGCTTATTTGTATGAATATGGATTGCTAGGTGCTATGTTTCTAAATATTTCCTGCTTTAGCTTAATTTCGGTATCACTTTTCAAAATGAGAATCTGACAACTGGTTGGTCTAAAAGAAAATCTGGGACCAAATTGACGACACTCAAAGTTTCAAGACATTAATAGTATAGTTATCTGAAACGGTAATTAGGTATATTTGAATTGAGCTCTATCAGCTAGTCAATGACTATATGCCTATAAAATTATTAACTTTTTCTTATATTCTGTTTCCTGATTTGATATTGATTTAAATTCAAATGTAATGTAGATAAATGTAAGGCCTACTGTTCATTGACCATTTAAACTTTTTTTTTTTTTTTTTTTGCACAGCATGAGCAACTATATTTACTAATAAAACTAAAACTCAGTTATTTTCAGACTTATCTTGTATGTGTAAGAAATATAGGGTATATAAATATAGATTTAATAATTTTGTTCATATAATAGAAAAAAGATAATTCCATAAAAATGCTAAGCTATGTGATGATGGCATTTTTATTAAAATTGCATTATGCAAAATGTGGAGTGCAGACAGGTTATAAGAGCTAATAAGTTTAAAATAATGTATTTTTAATACGCTATAAGAAAATAATGTGTCTCGTATGGAAATATTAGGTTGATAACCAACAGTTTCATTTCATTTAATGATATAAAAAAAAATTCTTTGATGATACGTTTTGGTTTGTATTGAAATTAATGTACATTGTCCTGTTGTTGAAAGAAATCTCTAACCTATTTTCTCTACAATTATTGTTGAACCTATTTTTTTTTTTCGTACCATAGAAAGTAATATCACACTTATTGCAATTATTATGTGTTAGTTGAAAGGATCTTCTTGCTTCTTTTACTCTAAATCAGATAGAATAGAGCACAATTTCACCTATCTGTGTCACTTATCACTCAGAAATAAAATACAGTTCAATTCAATTCAACAAAGAATTAAGAGTGAAAGATTAATTTAAGATTATTTTTTCAATCATTTCTGAAATTTAATTTTTAAATGGGTTTTAGCAATTGTGAGTACGATATATAGACACAGTTTTATGGAATAACAATCACTGGTTGAAGTTTTATGCAACGTTTTGATGTGTTTTCCCTGTCGAAATGCTGTATAAAACTTTAACCAGTGATTGTTGTTCCATTATGAAATTGGTATTTGAATTTTGAAAATTTCGGGAAATTATCACATCGTTAACATTCTATGCACATTTTGTTGAAGTACTGGGGAACCTGATTATAATTATGAAAGTGACACAGAGAGCTGAAATCAAGCTTTTATCAGCTGATAAAATTGATATTTGGAGTTTTATACCCTTTAAACTGTCACCAATCTCATTAGGTATTAGAGGGTAAAAGCCAACACTTAGCCGACTCAGAGGCACTGGCAGAGGTATCAGAATTTGTCACATCTAGAAGATGATTTGATCCCACGCGCCGAATTGCCTAGCAGACAAAGGTTAATGGAAAAAATGTATATGTCGGTCAATGCTCTGTATTGTTGATGATATGGTAATTAAATATTCATGTTATTTAAGTTATAATAATTGATATATTGATAATACAGAGATCATGTTTTATGACTACGCTGAAATATTAATGACTTAAATAATAATCATGTATAATTAATCATATCTCTTGACATGCCTTTATTATTATAAACTTGTCAATTAATATGTAGTCCCCCAATTTTCATCTTTTTGGGAGGTTTGGATTATTGACGGTAAGCCGTAAGGTTTGTGACATTGTCAGTAAGGTTTGTGACATAAACAGTAAGGGTTGTAATATTGACAGTGACATTTGTACTATTGACAGTGAGACTTTGACAAGGAAGTATGATTTTGACAGTGTAGCCTGTATTATTGACATTATGGTTTGTAATATTGACAGCATTACCTATATTATTGACAGTGAAGACTGTATTATTGACAGTGAGGTTTGTATTATTGACAGTGAAGTTTGTGTATTATTGACAGTGGGTCTGTCTTATGGTTTGTAATATTGACAGTGTTACCTGTATTATTGACAGTGAGGTTTGTATTATTGACAGTGAGGTTTGTATTATTGACAGTGAAGTTTGTGTATTATTGACAGTGAGGTCTGTCTTATGGTTTGTAATATTGACAGTGTTACCTGTATTATTGACAGTGAGGTTTGTATTATTGACAGTGAAGTTTGTATGATATAGCATATTTTGCGATTAGTAAAGTCATCATACACTTAGTTTTAGTTGATTTTCAGGAACCACAGTTGTCTAATTGAAAATTGGAATGCTGCAAAATGATGCTATCAGTGTCCCCAATACACATAATTTTTTTAGAAATCCTTCTTTACAATCAGTTAAAACCTAATATAGGGTATTCTATTGTATCTGAAGGAAAAATTCAAATCCAGGCATCTGTATGGTACATCTATTTTGCAAAAATGAAAACATGAAATGGATTTCATATCACATTAATTCTAGCATTTATTTCAAGTTTCTAACTTGACAAATCCTCACTGAATACGACAATGATCAAAAATTCTAAAATGAAATATTACTTGGTGACTAAGCTTTTAGACTCTTTTGTCATGCATAAATGTGGTAAGTGTAGTTTATGGTTCAAACGTAAAATATGGATTCAATTAGCACAGATATTGGCTGAAATAAAATTAAAGCTAAGATAAGGTAATTCTATTCTGCCCCAATAACATTAAATTTTCATTTAAAATTCCATTCATTTCATTAATATGTGATCTAATTTTATATATTGTATTGTATGCATCACCGAGAATTACCTTGAACCAATTAGAAATTAACTTAATTAATGCTATACTGAAAGTTACTCTGGACCAACTTTAAATTCTATTTGTAAGTAGTTCTGTTTGTCAGTCAAATGGGTTTCAAAATAGACCATTTTAGATGATTTAGATGGATTTGATGACGTTGCTCTATTAAGAGTAATTTCACAGAATCCTTGACATTTTTTTATGAAATTTGAATTCAAGCACAACATGGCATGACATTCTATTTTACAAAATTGAAAACAAGAAATGGATTTCATATCGCATTAAATCTGGCATTTATTTGTTCCATTGGAAAGAAGGAATGTTAAGTTGCTGATATTAAATTTTCACAATAGTTCTAAGACTGAGGTGTGAGTCCATAGAGTTTCTAACTTGACAAATCCTAACTGAATAAGACAGTGATGAAATTTTCAAAAATGAAATCTTACTTGGTGACCAAGCTTTTAGACTCTTTTGTCATGTAAAGATTTTGTATAGAGCGTAAATAAGGTTTCAATCACATTACAGATAAATAAATAAAATTAGTTAATAGTAAGTTGGTGCATACAAAAAATACAATTATCTCTAAATATATTTAACTTCTATTCTATTCTTCTTAATTTGATTTTTTTTGGTACATACAGGCCATTAGCATTGTGTAATGAATGAGATTTGTACACAGTTTTCTGATATAGCAAAATGGTTTTTTTATGTTTTGCTTATGATGATGTCGCTGGTTGAGATAATTGTTATGCCCTGATAATTGATGTTTTGGCTTATCTTGTACAGTGAGTAGATGAAAGAGATTGATACAGAATGACCCATGATAATTGATGTTTTGTTCTTGTTAATTGAACTCTTTTGCTTATGATAATTGATGTTTTGGCTTATCTTGTACAGTGAGTAGATGAAAGAGATTGATACAGAATGACCCATGATAATTGATGTTTTGTTCTTGTTAATTGAACTCTTTTGCTTATGATAATTGATGTTTTGGCTTATCTTGTACAGTGAGTAGATGAAAGAGATTGATACAGAATGACCCATGATAATTGATGTTTTGTTCTTGTAATTGAACTCTTTTGCTTATGATAATTGATTGTGTTTTGGCCTATCCTATACAGTGAGTAGATGAAAGAGATTGGTACAGAATAGCCCATGATAATTGATCTTTTGGTCTTGTTAATTGAAC